CGGTCCCCCCGATGACATCCCCCCGGTCCCCCCGATGACATCCCCTCGGTCCCCACGATCCCCTCGATGACATCCCCTCGGTCCCCGACATTCCCTCGGTCCCCGACATGCCCCCGGTCCCCCAATCCCCTCGGTCCCCGACATCCCTCCGGTCCCCGACATCCCCGTGGTCCCCGCGACTCCCTCCGTTCCCCTCGGTCTCCTCGGTCACCAAGGTCCCCCGGTCACAGAGATCCCTGCGACCTCCTCGGTTCCTTCAGTCCCTGAGATCCCCTCGGTCCCCGAAATCCCCTCGGTCCCCTCTGTTCCCTTCGGTCCCCATGATCCCCTCGGTGTCCCCGGGATGGGCCCTGTGCTGGGGTGTCACCCGTGCCGGGATGTCACCTACGTTAGGATGCCACCCTTGCTAGGATGTCACCTATGCTAGGATGACACCTGTGCTAGGATGACACCCGTGCTGGGATGTCACCCTCACTGGGGTGTCACCTGTGCTGGGATGTCACCGAGGTGTCACTGTCACCTGTGCTGGGGTGTCACCCTCACGGGGATGTCACCTATGCTGGAGTGTCGCTCTCACTGGGGTGACACGCATGTTAGGATGTCACCTATGCTGGGGTGTCATTCTGACTGGGATGTCACCTATGCTGGGGTGTCACCTGTCTGAGAATGCCACCCTTGAAGGGATGTCACCCGTGCTGGGGTGCCACTCTCACAGGGATTTCACCCTTGCTGGGGTGTCATTCTCACTGGCATGTCACCCATGTTAGGATGTCACCCATGCTGGAATGTCACCTATGCTGGAATGTCACCTACGCTGGGATGTCACCCTCACAGGGATGTCACCTATGATGGGATGTCACTCTCACTGGCATGTCACCAATGTTAGGATATCACCCTCATTGGGGATGTCACCTATTCTGGGGTGTCACCCTCACGGGGATGTCACCTATGCTGGGGTGTCACCCTCACTGGGGTGTCACCCTCATGGGGATGTCACCTATGCTGGGGTGTCACTCCCACTGTGATGTCACCTATTCTGGGGTGTCACCCTCACCGAGGTGTCATCTATACTGGGGTGTCACCCTCACTGCGATGTCACCCATGTTAGGATGTCACCTATGCTGGGGTGTCACCCTCACGGGGATGTCACCTATGCTGCAGTGTCACCCTCACTGGGGATGTCACCTATGCTGGGATGTCACCCTCATTGGAGTGTCACCCTCGCTGCGATGTCACCCATGTTGGGATGTCACCTATGCTGGGTTGTCACCCTCGCTGCGATGTCACCCTCACTGCGGTGTCACCCTTGCTGCGGTGTCACCTGCGTGGCCCAGCCCGTCCCTGTCCCTCCACTGGTCCCACCCCGTCCCCCAGCCCCTCCTCGCAGCTGGAGCCCGTTCTGTGCCGATCCCAAAAAATCCGATCCCAAAAAATCCGACCCCAAAAGGTCCTGGCTGTGCCCTGGCACCTCCCTGGCACCTCCCCTCACCCAGCCGTGTCTCACCATCACCCCCGGGCTCTGCCTCATGCCAGCCCAGGCATTTCCAGCTCTTTTCCCGAGGAGAATTAACCCCTTGTGTTCCTGTTCACCCTTCCCCAGGTTGGCACCCGTCAGAAAATTCCCTTTTCTGCCCCCGCCGCGGGGCAAGCGAGAGGCTCTTGCACAACTTTTATTCTGATGAACCAAAAATCTCTTTACGAATCCGTGTCCCGCAGGCGCCCACCCCTCACGGGCTCCTCTGAGGAGCTGCTCCGAGGCTCCTGCGCCGGAGCTGTGCCAGGGATGCTCCGTTAGTCACAATCCCCGTGGGAAGCGCCCGTGGGAGGCAGGAACAGCTCGGTGCCGCTCCCAGCCCGTCCCCGAGCCGCCTCCAGCTCCATCCCGCGTGTCCAAACGTGGACCTGGAGGGGACTAAAATCACCTGGTGGGGGGAATTTGGGGTCAGGAGGCATCACGGGGGGCTTTTCCCACGTTTTTGCTCCTTGTTCAGTTGGAGAAGGGCTTGGGAAGGAAGGAACAGCTCCAGCCCGTCCCCGAGCCGCCTCCAGCTCCATCGCGCGTGTCCAAACGTGGACCTTGAGGGAACTAAAATCACCTGGTGGGGGAAATTTGGGGTCAGATTTGGGATCAGGAGGCTTTTCCAGGTTTTCATTCCTTGTCTGGTTGGAGAAGGGCTCGGGAAGCACCCCGGGATGTGGGAGCAGCTCGGCTCCTGGAGCAGGGATGGGATGGGATGGGATCCGTGGGATGGGATCAATGGGATGGGATGAGATGGGATCAGGGGGATGGGATGGGATTGATGGGATGGGATCAATGGGGTCGATGGGATGAGATGGGATTGATGGGATCAGTGGGATGGGATAGGATGGGATCGATGGGATGAGATGGGATTGATGGGATCAGTGGGATCAGTGGGATGGGATAGGATGGGATCGATGGGATGGGATCAATGGAATGAAATGGGATCAATGGGATGAAATGGGATCGATGGGATGAGATGGGATCGATGGGATGGGATGGGATTGATGGGATGGGATAGCATCAATGGGATCAATGGGATGAGATGGGATCAATGGAATGGGATAGAAGGGATGGATGGGATCGATGGGATGGGATCGATGGGATGAAATGGGATTGATGGGATGAGATGGGATCGATGGGATGGGGTGGGATTGATGGGATGGGATGGGATCGATGGGATGAGATGAGATCAATGGGATGGGATCAATGGGATGGGATGGGATCGATGGGATGGGATCGAAGGGATGGGATGGGATGGGATCGATGGGATGGGATCAATGGGATGGGATGGGATCGATGGGATGGGATGGGATCGATGGGATGGGATCAATGGGATGGGATGGGATCGATGGGATGGGATGGGATCGATGAGATGGGATCAATGGGATGGGATGGGATCGATGGGATGGGATGGGATCGATGAGATGGGATCAATGGGATGGGATGGGATCGATGGGATGGGATCGAAGGGATGGGATGGGATCGATGGGATGGGATCAATGGGATGGGATGGGATCGATGGGATGGGATGGGATCGATGGGATGGAAGGTCCGGGACAGTTTTGGGGGCTGTGGGTGTCTCCTGGCCCGGCACGCAGCACTGGGAGCCGTTTCCTCTGGAAAAGGTGGGATTCGGGTGCCGCTGGGTTTTTTTGGGGATGCCCGTGCTCCTTGCGGGCTGTGCCAGAGCTCGGAGCCCCCTCGGGCTGTCCCTGTCGCTGTCACACCCCGGGGGGCTGGGGGGCTCCCTTTAACCCTTTCCCTGCCTCCTCCGGCTGTCCCCAACCCGCGCGGGTGCAGCGCCCACTCGGCATCACTCGAGGAGGGAGGAAGAGGAGGAAGAGGAGGGAGAGGAGGGAGAGGAGGAAGAGGAGGGAGAGGAGGGAGAGGAGGGAGAGGAGGAAGAGGAGGGAGAGGAGGGGGAGTTCAGCGTGCAGCAGCTGCCGCCGCAGCACATCGCTGTGATTCAGCCCCGGAGCCTCTGCCGGGGGAGCCGCTGGCACGAAGCCGCTCGGCCGGAGGCGTCCCGGGGCCGCCGGTAACGGGAGGAATCGGGAGAGGGAACCGGAGAGGGAACCGGAGAGGGAACCGGGAGAGGGAACCGGGAGAGGGAACCGGGAGGACGGAGCTGCTCGGCTCCCGTTTCCCGAGCTGTGTCTCAGGGTGACACCTGTGTCACCTCCTCGCTCCAGACCCTCCAAACCCTCCCAGGTAATTAATATAATATAATATAATATAATATAATATAATATAATATAATATAATATAATATAATATAATATAATATAATATAATATAATATAATATATACTGTATTACTTGTT